GCTGCTTCCAGGCATGGAGGTGATGCTCAGGTCCCCTCAGCAGTTCTAGGAAACTGTGTGATGACAAAATGGATGGGCCAGTGAGAGGCAAGCAGAAGTGACATGAGGAGTTCTAGAAGGCTCCATCAGGGTGTGCCCAGAGCTTGGGAATACGCCTTTCCCTCTTCCTCCCGTGACTTCCCGCCTTGAGGCAGCCATGATGACTGGACCTTCAACAGCCATTGTGACCAAGAGCTCTTGGCCACAGACACACTCAAGATGGCTCATAAGTACAGAAGGGGCCTAAGCCCTGAGGAACCTGACCTGAATGTGTACCAGCCATAGGTGTCCTACCTCTAGCCTTGTTGTAAACACAGGAAGTTAAGCCTCATCGGGGGGGCAGTGGCCCACGCCTATAATCCAGCACTTTGGGAGGCCAAGGCAGTAGGACACTTGCATCCAGGACCACAAGGCCAGCCTGAGCAACACAGAAAGGCCTCATCTCCACAAAAAATAAAATTTTAAAAATTAGCTGGGTAAGGTGGTGTGTGCCTGTAGTCCCAGCTACTTGGGAGACTGAGGCAGGAGGATTTCCTGAGCCCAGGAGGGCAAGGCTGTGGTGAGCCATGATCATGCCACTGCACACCAGCCTGGATGACGGAATGAGATGCCAACACAAAATTTAAAGAAAAAAGGAAAAGGAAAAAGAAATTAAGCCTCATGTGCTTCAGCCCCTCTAGTGGGGAGAGGTTTCCTGACATGGGATTGCACAAAACCCAAAATGAGATAGCCTCCTTTCACCTGAACAACTTGTGTTTCCTCAGCCCCAGAATCAACTGTCTTTTATTTTCTGAAAGAACCACCCAGGACTTCCGGACTTCCTCATGCCCAGCAGCCCTTCACGGCATCACGTATGTTCCCCTGCCTTCATTCCCATTCCCAGCATTCCTTTTCATCAGGGGGATAAGTATTTCCTCGTGTATTGGCTTCCCCCAGAGGAGGAAAAGGAGATTGCTGCTACTCTTGGGGGAACCGCTAAGGTAGAGAGTGACATGATACCTACATGAGCATTTCAAGCTTACAGTCAGGGTGTCTCAGGGCCTTAGACAAAACCCTTTCCGAAGTGTTGTCAAGGTCACTGATGCAGATTTCCAGCTCCCGGAGAGTCTTCATCGTGTGAAGCAGAGAGCAGGTGTCTCTCCAATAGAGCAGGCTCTTCATCTGACTGCAGGGAAGGAAAGTGGCATTCGCCAGGGGTGTCAGTCAACTCCAGTGATTTGAAAAGCAGTGCCTCTGGGAAGGTGTCTTTTGAGAACACCTGTACCTGACTCAGACTCAATACCAGGTGGGAAGAAAGCAAGCATGGCCAATCATGGAAACAACACCCAAGCCCACCACGGTAGTTGGTCACTCTGTATCCTGTTCCAACATACCTGGGTTCTCAACTGGGGCCACCTCACCACCCAGGGAACATTGCGCAACATCTGAAGATGCGTTTTCCTATCACAGCTGGGGAAAAGGACATGCCTCCATGCAGGGCAGCGGCCCCGGATGCAGTTAAACAGAGTGCCATGCACAACACAGCCCCCACCACAAAGATGCCTTTGGCCCCGACGTCAACAATACTGGCTTTTATTTTCATTTTATTATTATCATCACTATTATTATTATTTGTAGAGACAAGGTCTCACTATGTTGCCCAGGCTCGTCTCAAATTCCTGAGCTCCACCCCAGCCTCCCAAAGTGCTGGGATGACAGGCATGAGCTACCATACCTGGCCCAAAATGCTGCAATTTAACTCACACCCTGAGGTTAACCCAAGACAGAATAGATTTTTAGAATATTGGTCCAATTAGACCCAAGACTGAAATTCTGTTCTTTGTAGCCTTGAGCTAATCTTGTCTCGGTCAACAAGTTCTAGAATCAGGGGCAGGCCTTGGAAATACAGGAAAAAGGAAAACAGTTTTTTTTTGAGTTGGAGTCTCACTCTGTCGCCCAGACTGGAGTGCAGTGGCTGCTCCCGGCCACCGCAGCCTCGACTTGCTGGGCTCCGACGATCCTTCCGCCTCAGTCTTCCAAGTAGCTGGAACTACAGGCGCGTGCTACCATGCCCAGCTAATTTTTTATTTATTGTACAGATGAGGTCTTGCCAAGTTGCCCAGGCGGGTCTCGAACCTGCAGGCTCAGGCAAACCACTCAAATCAGCCTCCCAAAGGCTCAGGATTATAGGCTGAGCCACCAAGCCCGGCTGAAAAACAATTTTTTTAAAAAACTCACCTAGGAGTTAGTTTTCCAGTGGGCTCCTTGCCTCCAAAGATATGCTGAACACTCAGCTTAAGTTTCCGGAGAGAATGGCAGTGTTTCAAACAGTATAACGACACCCTCAGGTCTCTGTTGGCTTGAATATAAATGGTAGCCTCCGAGAAAAAGCCCATCATCTGACTCACAAATTCTTCCTCCTGATTCTCAAACAGACAGTAAAACAAAGGCGTGTGGTGCTCCATGGCTTTTAGGTCGTCGCCCAACTGCTGCATTTGTGCCAGCAAGTACTCCTTGAAGCGTCTTGCCATCGGGAGTTGACAGCCAAGAGATGTCTCCAGGACCTTTCTTCTCTTCTCATTGAGGAGGCCAAAAATGAAAGTGATGACGGGATCAAAGTCATCATACTGATCCCTCTTGTCTTTGTTCTCTTCACTGCCCAAGGGAATCGGGCAATCGGTGACTCCCATCAGGTAGGCCACAGCCACACAAAACTCCTGGACGTTCACGTGAGCGAACTGGTAATGGTTTACATAAGTGCTGCTGGGCAAAAGAATATTCAGGGCCTGCAACAAACAGACATCATCCTCGGTAAGCCCAACACTGCTGAGGTCTCTGATGCTAAAATTCAGAGAGTTGTGAAACAGTCCTTCCACTGCCAGAACACCCAAGCACTTCAGGAGAACAAGTGGGGGCTGACTGCCAGGAACTCCAGCCTCAGACGTCAATGCATCAGCAAGGAAATGGGCATAGATATCCGTGGGCATTTGGCAGGAGAGGGGGACATCAGCCCCCATGTCCATCTGTTGGTTCAGCGCTGTACACATGATCCAACATAGAATGGGGACTCTGCACAGACCCACGAGCACCTCATTCTCGTGAACAGACTTGAAGGCTGCTGCAGCCCTCTGGCTGTCCTTGAAGAATAAGTCGAAATACACCCGCCTCTTTTCCTCCGAGAGCTGCAGGACCACACAGCAGTCCGTTGGCTTCATGAATGCTTTGAGGGCCGCCTCACCAGCAGGCCTCGATGTGAGGAGGAACCAGGAGCCTGGAGCCATTTTTCTCTGCAGCAAACTGGCCAGGAGAACCGGTACCGGTACCCGCTCTCTGCTGTCACTGCACAGAAAAGGTTCATCTGTGTTCAAGGTGAAACCTATGTTGTCCAAGTCCTCAAGGATAAACAGGAGCCTCCGGGAGTCGGACAGGATGTCTGCAATCGGGGCCAAGCCCTCAGACCAGTCCTTGGAGATCAGCTCCACCAAGCTACTGTGGGTTATCTGGTTCATTTCGTGAGCCGTGAGGTGAACCACATATGAGATCTTGCCCTTCCACATGCCTCTGCTGCCACTGGCCCACTGTAACACCGCTGTTTTGACGATCATGGATTTTCCAGCTGCTGTGTCTCCCAGCAGGAGCACATTAAGATTCTCTTTTGAGTAAGAGCTGTTAGGATCAAACGCCAACTGAAGAACACAGAAAACATTCGCGGCAGCCTCACAGAGGAATTGATGATGAAATTCTTCCAAGGGGGACTTTTCCCACTGGAGCATGAATTTTTTCTTCAGGAGAACTTTGAGCATCTCTTCGCTACCTAAGTCAGCAGGCACAGGGCAAAGAGAGACAGAGCAAATATAAATGTTTGAGATGCAAAAGAAATTTCACACTGTTTTCATAGTTACAGTAAATGTCAGTAATGTGCCGGAGACTAGATCCAGCCGGGTTCATGGTACCCCAAAGGTGGAGACAGTGTCGGCGATTGGGGGCAAGACAAGAGAAAGAAAGAGACTGGACTCCAGTCTAGTGCAGAAGCGATGTGTGTTACTGGGAATTACAACGGGTCTTTTATACACAAAGTCAGATGTGGGAGGGGCGTCTCCCACCCACCAGAAACCTTAATTCATGAAAACTTAATCAATGATTGCCTTTAAACCCTTTTCATATGATAATCTTAAAATTCCATAACAAAGGATAACCTAATCCGTGATTGACATATTCTATAAACCTTTTTCATCCTAAGCTGATTGATTTATGCCAAGTTAACAATTCTATAGAAGCTTAAGTATTTACTTTACAAATGAAAGTGGCCCATCCCAGAATGTTTGGAATGTGGCCCAGTCCAAAGTTCACAGTGGGCTACCTGCAAGTAACCCAGCCGCATTCTTTCAACAAAATGAATGTCTTCTAAAACTATATTCTCCAATTTACACCTTCAGTAAACCCTAAGATCATGACCCAGAAGCCTGTGACCAATACTAAGGCTCTTAGATGTGACCCGAGTTGGAATTGTAAGTTGTGTGAAAGCCAAAACTGCAGTTTGTGGAAGAATGGGAGCAATGAGCTTCTAAAGTTAGCTTGTGTTCATCCCGGTCTCAGAGTTTTTATGTTTTGAGGTCACAGGAACTTAATCTGGTTAGTGCTGAGTAGAAAGGGGGAGGAAATGGGGTCAATAGCTCCCGAACGCATCCTAGTGGTCTCAGGGGTCAACGGCCCTTCCTGATCCCTAACGCTCAGTGGGCTTCCGTGGCCAGCTCCCAATAGTAATGTAAAATAAGAGCTTCTTAACTTACTATGATTCATTACAGAGATACAGATACAAGGAAATCTGTTCATCCATACAATGGAATCAGCATATTGACGGCTTGGTCATCCTCCAAGGGCTTCCCTCTCACTGAATTTTCTTGGCAACAAGGACTTAATTCTTTTCTCTTTTGTGATTCTCCAGATTTTATACAAAGGGGACCCAAAAAACCCCAGAATTATTTTTTGGAGGGTGGGTCCCCTGTAGGACAGGCTTCCCCACTAGGTGAGTGTCTAGGAGCCCACATCCGTGGACTAGCTAGGGTGTGGTGAGAGGATGCACTTGGCTTCAGGAAGTTTTCTTGGAGAGCATTTTAACACATTTGTCCATGTCATGATGCATGATTTACAGGAAAAACCTGCCCACTGCACACTGAGGGTTCAGCATTTTTGACCCAAAACCACATGATCCCATTGCCCCACCCTCCCTATTCACCCAACCTCACCCTGAGCAACTTAATTTTTGTTTCCCCTGATGAAAAAGATTCTTAAGGGAAATGGTTTGCCAATGAGCAAGAGGTGAAACAAAAAAATTAGCAGAAGCACCAAAAGGCATCAAAGTGAACAAGTTCAAAAACTGTTTTGAGTAGTGGAAAAGGCACCTTGACAGGTGCATTGCATCCACCAGGGAGTACTTTGAAGGTGACTGAAGTTTAAACATGGAAAAATAAATATACAATTTTTAATAAATAAAAAATTTATTTTGGGCCCCTCTTGTACAATTTTTTAAAAATCTAAATGCAGAGAACCAGAAAACCATGTTCCATGATCAAGAAAAAAAATTCTGAAAAATGTCTACATAGGCCCTTTGCTTATTTTTTGATTGGGTTGTTTTCTTGCCATTGAGCTGAGTACCATATATATTTTTAACATTAGCCCCTTATCAGACATGTGGTTTGCAAATG